CAGACACATGCAGGCAGATACACACACTCTCTCTCACACACACACACACACACACACACTCTCACAGACACATGCAGGCAGGCAGATACACACATACACTCACTCACTCACTCACTCACTCACACATCAGGGTCAGAAATGAACTTCTATATTTGTTTTCAGTGGTTTTATATAAAAACACTTTACATCAGATAGTTGTTGGACCATTAGGGAATTTCCTATGATTTTCTATGATTTTAATCAATTATTGAGTTGTTAAAGTTTCATGAATTAAATTGATTAGACATGCTTTTTTGATCATTATGGTTTAAATTAAATCATCAAAATGCAAATCAGACAATAAATAAATAAAATAAAATAAATAAGAACAAAAAAGGGGGTCTCAATTGTTAAACTTTTAATACACAGTTGCCAAACTGCATGTGTTTCATGATTTGAATTAATTAGTCATGCTTTTTGATTACTAAAATTTCATTTTACCATTAAAACGGAATTCAAAAATTGAAATGGAAAAAAAATGTAATTTGGGAAAAACTAAAACAGACTTCAATGGCCCTAAAAGTCTACTTCAATGCCATTTTTACTTGCAAGAAAACACAGTATAATATGAATACACAGCTCTTTCTGAACACCCTAACAGAGAACAACGCTCCTTTATTACCGCATGTTTAATCTGGGATTCTGCAGCTTTGATGAAGGTACACTTAAGACTTTTTAAAAATCAAAACTAAAGAAAATGTCATTAATAAACAGAATGGAACAGAATATAGGTCAGTATGTTCTCTAAATATGAATGTCTCGTATTAGCAACGCTTCAGAGTTTGAAAATACATTACTCTAGAAAACTTCTGCTCCAAACACTAGAATATGAAAACAACTTTTACTGTACTCCTGATCACACTGTAAATCGTCTTGTTTTCCAGCACAAGATTCTTAAAATACATTTACATTTACTGGAGATGACATAAAATATTGAGTCTTGATTCATGAGAAACTGATCAAAATGAAGTGAGTTTATGATTAAAACGAACAAATATCTGCCAATGGATAAGAAGAAAAGAGAACAATTTAACGGTAAAGAGGTTTTCATTCCACACCGACAGATATTTATTCAGTTTTGTCAGAAAACAAGACTTCCTATCTTCATTTTGCATCTCTAGTAAATAAATCTTGACATTTGCACTGGAAAACACGACAAAAACACTGAGGAAGAGATTCATTTTTGCAGTGCCACGACTTTATGACTTTCTGCTGCGATTTAACAGCTTTTTAATCTGATCTCGGTGTCGAAAGTGCTGAAATCAGATGTTAGGTAAGTTAACCGATTCGCCTCACATTTCAACCACGTCTGACCCTGATATTCACACGCACTGAACCCCGTCTCTGACCTGGCGAACTCCGCCAGCTGCTTCGGGTCCGACAGGTCGATCCCCGGGATTCCGCCGGGCGGGAGCTTCTTTCCCGTCATGTACTCGGTGTAATCCGGAGAAGAGTTCTCCCCGATGATCTGCTCCTCCACCACCGTCTCGTGATCGATGTCCTTCTTGTCATCTGAAACACAGACGGCTTCAAATCAGTCACGGAAACCAGAGGTTTATAATAGACTACAGCGTTTCCGCCCCGGTTTTACACGAGCGACGACCGTAACATCCGGGTCCTTCGAGTAAACAACAACAACGACCGAAAACACCTCAAAACATCAAAGCCCAAATAAACACACGATTTCTGTCAGAACTCTAATATCTAAATCACCTAGCCACCTAAACCTAGTTCTGCTAACTACTGCTAGTTAACAAACACACAACAGTACGCTGGAAGCTCGTTTCAGTTCCAAACGTTAGAAAACAAACAAACAAGCGTCACACCTGGACGCATATTTAAATCCAAAGAGGCGCGCGCGCTTCCCGCCGAAGCCGAAATTCAAACGGTCTTTAACGGTCTCGCGGCCTACACGCGGCGGCTGCAGCGCGCTCGCGCCATCTTCAAGCCGCCGCACCGTCGCCATCTTTACGGGCCGCCATAGTGGACTCGGGGAACATGGCGGCGCCCATCGAGAGCTAAAAACATGGCCTCCGTTCAAAACAAAAACACCCGGACGGATGCGCCCGCACTCCCGCTGCAGACAGCGCTCGCGACGAGGAGCGACCGCGGAACGGCACGCGCTGCGGACGGACAACGCCCTGCTGAGGGCCCCGCTGTCACTCCGAGGGAAGGAGACTCACCCGAAGCCCACATCGTGACGGAGAACTCGCCCTCCAGAGTCTTGATCTGCACCTGCTTCTGCTCCCATTTCCTCCCGCTGGCCTCCGCCGCGCTCAGGTAGCTCTTCTTGCCCGATTTCTTGCCGCCCGACGCCGCTTTCTTCCCCACCCGCCCCACGGAGCTCTTGCCCGCGACTGTCACCAGAGTCTGCCCGATGTACTCCTCCTCCGCGGGCACCGGGATGAGGATCTGGTCCTCGAAGCCGTCGTCCTCCTGGAGGTCCGACTCGTCCCCGCCGACCACCTCCTCCCGGGTCTGGACCAGGATCACCTCCTGGTGCTGGTGGACCTGACTCGGGTCGTCTGTCACGAGCGGCTGCAGCGCGATCATGGGCTGCTGCTCGTCGTCATCGTCGCCGCCGATCACCGTGGTCTCGATGGTTTCCACCTCGATCTCGTGCAGCTCCACGAGCTCCGCGGGCATCTCCGAGCCGTCCGTCTCGATGTACAGCGTCTCGCCGGATGCCATGTTGAAGTCCGCCAGCTCGCTCGCCTTCGCTGTCGCGTTAAACGCACGCACGGAACACTCGCTGCCCCGCAAACACACACACACTCCGCGAATACAAACAACTCTCCACTTCTCACGTGAATTCACGTCGCCACTACTCTCCACTGCCAAATCTCGCGAGAGGAGGGTCGGTGGGGCTCGCGCGGGCGGACACGCAGATGGCTGTACCTTTATTTATTTTATTTTATAGGTGGCTTGTTATTTTACTGGTGATAATTGAGATGACTCCCCATTTAAATGAACAAAATGGTAGCGATTGGACAGGTAGGATCTAAACCAAAGCCTGCCCTTGAATACCTTTTTTTGTTTGTACCTTTTAATGTATTGTGTTTATGTAATTATTATTTTTAAATCCAGATTTCACTGTAAATATATTACAATATGATTTTTATCATTATTTAATATATTAATTTATTATATCAGTGTATTGGTTTATATGTGGGTTGTTTTTATTTTTCAATATCGAAACAATTTTCAGATTGTTTTGATTATTTTTTAACGTTTGTTGGTTTTTACCTCATGTATGATATTTATAAAGTTCTAAATTGACAATACATTGATATATTCATGTACTATTTTATGTTTATGTTATTTTTTAACGTTTGTGGGGTTTTCTCATGCAAGTTGTTTCTAAACTGAAAATAAATATCACCAGAAATTCTTATTGATATATTAGTTTATTATTTCACGTGTTGTATTTACTTTTTAATGTGTTACTTGTGCTTACATCATTATTGTTTGATTATTCATTTAAAATTAAAATATTTGTATTATTTTAAAATGTATAATATGGGAAGTTGTTTTAAAATAAATTAATAAACATCACCAGAAACACCTATACTTAATATATTATGTTAATAAAATCCAGATTTACCGCTGTGTGTTAATGATAATTAAATAGATTTGTTTGAATATATTAAAATGTGATTTTTATATGATGTTTATTTTTAAAGTCTGTGGGTTTTTTCTAATCTAAACTGAAAGTCTCACCAGAAACTCTGCACCAGGTTGTCTATAATATCCACAGATCGATGTATTTCTGTCATTTATTCAGACAGTACTGATTTGTTTGAAAGGCTTTTATTTTACATGAATCCTCCTCCTTCACACTTTATTTCACTTCTTTTTAAACGTCATGTATATCTTTTATTTAGTATTTTTTTCAAACCAGGAAGCACTTGGTCATAAAGAGAAATCATAAAACAGAACAATACTCCACCATGTCCTCGCAGCCGATAAACACTTGATTAACAACATGATCACAAATACTCTGGTGTGTGATGTTTGCTCGTCAGATAATAACTCGAGAACCGCCTACGCAGCTTCAGACGTGTTTAAAACCCTCCTTCAGTCATTAAATACATCATTATGGCAAAAGGGATTAAAAAAACAGGAATGTGCTCATGATGAATCTTGAGGAAAATTAAAACTAATATAAAAGGCTAATGCTGAAGTGATGTGCAATGATATCATCATCATCATTATTATTAGTATTATTATTAATTCCTCTACCTACATGAAAACACTACTACTACTACTACAACTATACCTATAATAACAATAATAATAACAATAATGCAGACAAATGAAAAGGACTCCAGATGTTTGCTCTGTTTTCTTCAGTTTCTGAAAAGACTGCCACCAAAATCAGTGCAAGTGTCCTTCCTTCATCAACACATCTCCGCCCAGGGCTCCTCGACGTTGCAGACGAGTTAAAACGAGCGTTTAATACGGCTGTAACGTCCGGCGTTGGCTACAGCAGGATCCGCAGGGGTTCGATGGACACTATGTGGTGCTGATTCGACTGAGTTCATGTCTAATGGCTGCAAATAAAGCAGAACAGTCATTCTTGCAGGAGTGCATTACACAACACAGAATATATAAACACACTGACGGGCATCAGGACTCACAGACCGGGGCAAGTCGTCACACGTTTGTTTACATGTATGACCCTGGAGCACAAAACCAGTCATAAGGGTCAATTCTGTGAAAAAGAGAAATGTATAATTCTGACCCATACAATGTATTGTTGGCTATTGCTACAAATACACCCCCGTGACTTAACACTGCTTTTGTGCTCCAGGGACACATTTATGCACTCGGCAGACGCTTTATCCAAAGTAACTTACACCACATTCAAGGTACACATTTGACATTTTTATAATTTCTTTCGTTCCCCGGGAATCGAACCCATGACTTTGGTGTTGCAGGCGTCTTGATCTGCTGTTTGAGCGACGGGAAAGCGGAATAAACATACCATCAATGATCTCGTCCTTCACCTTGTGCAGTTCACGAACCACTTCTTCCAAGATTTCCTGTCAATTAAAACATCGTCTGCATTTAAAGCAATTGAAGCAGGGTTATTATAGTCAACTAAAGCTAAAAGTATTCAAAAAACATTATAAAATAAAAATAAATAAAAATAAAATATAGAAAAAAATTTGAAAACTGCCAAGAAATCAACATTTCCCAACTAAACTAATTAATTAAAAAAAAAAATATATATATTATATTAACAAAAACTACTAAAAATGACCAAAAAAAACAACTAAATTACTAAAATACTAACGAAAATCTAAAAATGAATCTTAATATATTAATAAAACCTATAAGAGTATGTCATTGATTACCTGTTTCATTCTATCGAAGTCTAAAGCGTCGGAGTCGCTGAAGCTTCCCACGGGTCGAACCCTGAAGACACACACAAGCACTGCATTAATCGCCGGTTTCTTTGATTAATAGAAAGTTCAGAAGAACAGCATTTATCTGAAATAGAATTTTTTTTGTAACATTATAAATGTCTTTATCGTCACTTTTGATCAATTTAAAGCATCCTTGCTAAATAAAAGTATTAATTTCTATAATTTCCCCAAAAAATTCAAATAAAATAAAAAATAAAATAAAAATACTGACTCCAAGCTTTTGAATGTTATATGTATGAAGCTTTTTATTTCATATGAATGCTGATCTTTGGATCTTTTATTGGATCTTTCTTACTGTTCAAAAATTTTTGACTGGTAGTGTGTGTATGTAGCCTACGTATCACACTCATATCACATCTTGTTTTGGATAAGAATAAAACGTCAGGTCCGACAATATCGTGTCTTTTTTTATTTAAATCTAGCTTTATCCGCATTGGCCCATCGAGTTTCTTAATGTGCATTCCTCATGTGAAATGTTGTCCATAGGGATTTTTAACTTTAACTTATTAAAGACAGATGAGCTACAAGGCTGTTATTTGATGGTATATGCTTTAATTGAAGCCATTTATTTTTAAAATAACTGCATTTAACAGCTAAATTTGTGGTGAAAAACTACATTACCCATGATGCTGTACAAAAAAATTCCACCAATCGGAGTAAATGCGCAAAAGAGCTCCGCCCACTGCCACGAAGCACCACCAATAATTGAGTCCCAAATTATTTCAATATTTATATATTATATGCATATTATGCAATAAACCTACAATATATCAACTTTAAATGAATAGTTTTATGTTTCACAAACGTACAAAAGTTCTTTCCTTGCCTGATTTTCAAACACTTTTTTCGCTTCAAATAAAAGTTTGTAATGTTGTGATTCTCCTTGTAACTGATTGGTTCGGTTCATGGATTATATCTCCTAAACAAAGACTTTTTAAAATCCCTATGAGGAAAATGAATGGCGAATAAGGACCCTTTGCACGCGCCGCAGTTTGGCTCCGGCGATCATGGCGGCGAGACCCGTGGGGGCGTGGCTATCATCCTGGGCGTGACCCCCGTACCCAATCACAGGCAGAGGAGGCGGAGGAGGGGGCGGAGCTCCGGCGGAGGGGGGCGGCGGCCCGGGCGGGGGAGGAGGAGGACAGGGACCGCCTATCGACAGAGGAGGCGGAGCCACACTGGGAGGAACTACAGACAGCACCGCGGGGTGACCCTGAAACGGGGAACCTAAGGAAATAACGTCATTTATTTCTATAGCGCTTCACACAGAAACCAACAGAGTTCATGATGCAAAATTCATCAGTTCCAGAGTCATTATTCGGATCAATCACAGTGTCCGTGTGCATCAGTGTTCACGTTTCAGTCGCGTCTGACCTGAGTTGGACGATCGTCTCTCCCGCTCGATATGCACCTGCATCTGTTGCTGCTGCATTTCCATTTGTCTGCAGAGATCCAGAACACACAAACACACCGACATACCCATCATGCACTGCACACAGACCTCACACACTAACGGTCAATGAGTTAAGAATTTAACGTTTAATGTTTCTGAAGGAGTCTCTTATGCTCAGCAAGGCTGCATTTATTTGATCAAAAATACTCTAAAAATTCTATTTGAATTTCTAAGTTTTCTGTGTGAATGTCTGTTAAACTGTAATGTATTTCTGTGATGCGCAGCTGTATTTTCAGCATCATTACTCCAGTCTTCAGTGTCACATGATCTTCAGAAATCATTCTAATATGCTGATTTGCTGCTCGAGAAACATTTCTGATTATTATCAATGTTGAAAACATCAATATTTGTGTGGAAACCGTGATACATTGTATTTTTCAGGATTCACAGATGAATAGAAAGTTCAAAAGAACAGCATTTATTTGAAATAGAAATCTTTTGTAACATTATAAATGTCTTTACTCTCACTTTTGATCAATTTAATGCAGCCTTGCTGAATAAAAGCATTAATTTCTTTTTTGGGAACATGGTGCCGTGTTTCATATCTGATCTAATAATGAGTCTGACAGCGATATGATGGGAATCGATCGGATCCGCTTGAGTTTCCTGATATGGGAAGTGTATAAGAGCTGAACAGTAGAAATTGAATTTTCCAGATGCATGATGGGACGGTAGAACAGCTGATGCAGCACAACAAACTTCATCATGCAGCGGCTGCTTCCTGTGACCAGCAGAGGGCGACTGTGTGTGTGTTTCACTCTCATCACTGCATCAGAGTGAAAACGTGGAAATTAATACTTTTATTCATCAAGGACGCATTAAACTGATTAAAAGTGACAGTAAAGACATTTATAATGTTACAAAAGATTTCTAGTTCAAATAAATGCTGTTCTTTTGAACATTCTGTTCATCTGTGAATCCTGAAAAATACAATGTATCACAGTTTCCACACAAATATTGTGCAGCACAACTGTTTTCAACACTGATAAGACAGTGAACATACTGCAGAGAGATGAGTGTGGTGTTTAAATGCTATTCTGAACAAAGCCCTGTTCTTTTATTGGGATCTAGCTGAAGACTCGGATGTAAATAACGCGTGTGAATGTGATTATACAGTACGAGACGGTCATCTATAGTCAGATATTACAGCAGTGTGTGTGTTTGTGCGGCTCACCGTCTCTGGACCTCCAGTTCTTCTGAACCCGGCCCGTTCTGGACTGGACGCTGAACAGCTGGACCTGAAAGAGACCAGGAGCAGTTTGAGGAATGTGACAGTAATAACATGTGTGCCACAGATTCAGAGTGTGTGTGTGTGTGTGTGTGTGTGTGTGCGTGTGTGTGTGC